CTGAAAAAGCAGCCAGTGCTCTTAACCATTAAGCTACCTCTCCAGCCCACAGCCTACTTTTTTGTTTTGTTTTGTTTTGTTTTTGAGACAGGGTTTCTCTGTACAACTTTGGAGCCTGTCCTGGAACTCACTCTAGACCAGGCTGGCCTCGAGCTCACAAAGATCCACTTGCCTCTGCTTACCCAGTGCTGGGATTAAAGGCATGCACCACCACTGCCTGCCCCCCAACCTGCCTCTTGAATGCCTTTGGCAAGTAGCTATCATGTGGGACAACACAGGTATTTAAATGGTTAGTTTATGTTTTAATTGTTTTGTGTGTATGTGTACATGCATGTGTATGTAGCTGAGTGTGTGTCTTGGTGTGTGGCAGTCAGAGGTCACCCTGGGGTGTCAGTTGTCTCCTTGTACCATGTGAGTGTCAGGGATCAAATTCAGGTCAGCAGATGGGAGCTGAAAACCTCTTTACTCACGGAGCCATCTCATCGACCCAATTTCTACCTCAGTCCTTGCCCTTCTGTTTGACTTTTGGTCACTTAAACTGTGTGGCGATAATTACTTAACGTACAAGAAACCAGCGTGTCGTGTTTGTTTCTTGACACAAGGTTTCATGTAGCAGCCCGGGTGACCTGAACTGTTTATATAAAGTAAATAATTATACATATAATTATATATGTAACTTACACAGCATATAAAGCGATCCAACAAATGGCCCAGCAACCCAGAGGAAAAGGACAGACCCAGAAAAGGGGATGTGGTGGGTCTTCTGTAGGCATAGCTCCTCAGATCATGTTTTGCTTTGTTTTATTTGCAGTGCTAGGGATTAAACCCAAGGGTTAACACATATAAAATTATATGGATCTTTGCCTACCTCTACCTCCTAAGCTCTGGTATTGGAATTTGATTGGACTGACAAATGCCCCAGACAATTAGTAAAGTACATGCCTGGGTGTATCTGTGAGGATGCTTCCAGAAGGACTAAGGGGAGATAACCATGACGTATGTAGGGGCATAACCCCTTGTGGAGGTCAGGGTACAACCAAGAGGGAAGGATGGGGAAGTCCGCTAACTCTCTCTGCTTCCTGGCTGCTGCTCATCCCTGGACCCAAGGGAAGCCTCTCCTTCTGAAATTGCTATGTTGGGTCTTTTTTTTTTTTTTTTTCACAGCATACAAATCTGACTATTAGAGACATATGCTGTCTCTGTCACTAGAGAAATTGCAACAACCCCCACCCCAATTTTTTTCAGACAAGGCCTCACTATGTAGCTTTGGCTGTCCTGGAACTCACCACATAGGCTGGCCTCAAATTTACAGATTCATCCGCCTCTGCCTTCTGCTGGATTTAAAGGCACGTGCCATCATGCCCAGCTTCCCTCTCTCTTTTCTCTCTCTCTCTCTCAAATAGCATTGCCTTTCTTTTCTCTCTGTCTCTCTCTGTCTCTCTGTCTCTGTCTCTGTCTCTCTCTCTCTCTCTCTCTCTCTCTCTCTCTCTTTCTCTCTCTCAAATAGCATTGCCTTTCTTTCCAAAGAGAAAGCCAGCAGCCTGGGCTACAAATCCAAATTCTGTCTCCCAAAACAAACCAGTGTAGTCCAGTTAGTTGCTTGACAGCAAGTCTCACATTGTGAATTGTCTGATTGTTTCCTCAAGACTAATAAAACCAGAAAAACATTTTTGGAAAATGCCCTCCTCAGAGGATGGGGTATGCATTTCAGTATGTTGTTACTGCCAGGCAACTATTGGTGACGCCTACAGAATGCACTCAACCAACAAAGAAATGACCTTGTTACAGGCAATTGCCTAAGAGCTTAGGAGTTTGATTTCAAATATCCAGTCCTTGGAAATCTGTCACTGTCCTAGAACAGAGTGAAAAATCATGTTGGAAAATGTAAGGTGACCCAACAAATGGCCCAGGACACCCAGAGGAGGCTGTGGGTCTTCTGCAGGAATATAGATAGCCTCAGGCTCTCCTGAGCATGGTTTTGTTGTTATTTGAACTGTTGAAGACCAAACATGCAGGGGTTCCTGCATGGAAATAAAGCGCTGTAACAACTGAGCTACATTTGCAGTCCCAACCCATGTGTTTTGGTGATTGTTGTTGGGAGAGAAAGCAGGTTTGTGAAATGCTGGTGACCCAGCTAAGTATCAGCTGGAGGCTCCACAACAGATGCAACTAAGGCTGAGCAGTTTAAGGGCTATCTACTGAGCACCTCCCTGCCAGTCTGTGCTCATATCCAGGACACGTTTTGAGCCTGGGTTTAGCTAAGGGAATCATTGAAGAAGAAAAAAAAAAAAGATTTCTTTTTGCCACATTTGTTGCCAGATTACCTCATTCATCAAATATCCTCCCTCTTGTTCCCAATAAGGACTAGAGAAAAAAAGACGGGAAAGAGCAGAAGCTAGAGAACAATTGAAGTTTAAAAACCTATGTGTGGTCACAGCCGCCAGCACAGCTTTGGGAAAGGGGCATCCGTCAAAGGGAGGAGTGGGAGGGGGCAGGGTGGCCTTCTACTTTCTGGTATCCTTTTTTGGAACTTGTTTCCTCCGAAGTGAGGAAGCAGAGATCATCATTCCTGTGGGCCATCCACAGTTGTCCACGGAAACCGCCCTTACCAGGAGCTTGGAAATACCAAGGGCTTATATGAGGTGTAAACATGTCTAATGGAGAGTTGACCTAAAAGGAAGGCTTTCAGCATGGACGCCAAGAGAGGAGCCTCTGCAAGAGTCCTGGTCACACATCTTAGGGCTCCGTCTGGCAGAGGGACCAATCTTCCAGGAATATCTGGTGTCTCTATTGCTGACTTGTGCAGATAACCGCCCTTGAACTCTGAAGTACCAAAACCAACTTCTCTGTTAGGATTCCTACTGTCAGGAGTACCTACTGACCAGCTGCTTGCCCATGAAGCTTGTTTCCAGAGAAGGATTGTGCCTACCATCTGTGTTATGAGCAGTTTTCCCACCAGCCTGGACCCACAGCCGCGTCATCCCCAAATAACACACAGAGATGCTGTATTAGATATAAAGCTGTTGGCCAGTTACTGTTATTTCTTATTGGCTAGCTCTGTCTTAAATATTAACCCATTTCTCTTAATCTGAGTGTTTCCATGTGGTCTTATCTTACCGGAAAGAGGGTCCAGACCTCTTCCTCTCTCAAGTCTCTACATCTTGCCTCTCCTCTACTACATCTCCCAGAATCGTCCTCTCCTAGTCCTGCCTATTTTGCTTTCTTATTGGCCAACAGGATTTTATTCATTAACCAATAAGAGAAACATATTTACAGAATGACATTTCCCATCACGTCTGTCCTGCTCACTGACCACTGGTGTCTAGCCTATGTACATACCTCTATGGCTTTGTGGATCTGAGTCAAACTCCCTGTATGAAATGATTCCTGAGTTTTGGAAATTGAGGCTGGGCTCAAGGCCCTGATGCATTTAACCAACAGCAGCCTCTAAGCAGCTAGTTGGCCCCCTTCACTGTGGGACACTGGACTCCATTTCAGCAGCCCTCCCCTCCCATCTAGTTCTTCATATTATCCCCACTTTATATTCTTGGTATTTTTCTTTTCCTGTTGCTTCTCAAAAAAAAAAAAAAGTTCAACTCCCTTTATAAATATCATCATAACAGTAAAAGCTTCTGTTTATGGGATTTTCTGTCTGCCCAGCAGCCCCACGAAGAGGGATTACTTTCCAGTTTGGGGGCCTATAAACTAATTGTGACCAAAAGCTGGGATCCAAGTCTTTGTCTACCTCTAGTTATTAGTACTTTACGACATTAAGGGAGTATCCCTTCATGGGATACATTAGGACTTCATGGGATGCATTAGAACTACATCCTGGTTCCACTGCCAGAGGTCCCACAGACTGCCCAGGCCTCCTAGCTGACACCCACACATTAAGGGGGCCTAGTTTGGTCCTGTGTTGGTTCCCCAGCTGTCAGACTGGGGTCCATGAGTTCTCTTAAAGGCCTGTGCAGCAGAGACTTGGTCCTTAGCTGGGCATTACTGGAAAGCACCAGAAACTTAACAGGTGGGGCCAATTTATATCACTGAGGGTGTGCCTTGTCGTGGACAGTGGATCACTAGTCCTTTCTCGGTTTGTTGTTTTGTTTTTGCTGGTCGCCACAAGGTGATCTGCCCTGCCCTGAGTTCCTTGCCAACATCTACACCACAGCCCAGAGACAATGAGACCCATTAATCATGTACTGAAATCTTCCCTTAAAAACAAGCCACCATTGTGTGTGTGCTCGCATACGCGAGTGCATTCACTCACAATGTCTGTGCAGGAGGCCATGGAGGCTAGAAGAGGGTATCAGGGTTGTGAGCTGCCTCATGTGGAAACTGGGAACCAAACTGTCGTCCTCTACAAGAGCAGCAAGTCACTCTTAACCTCTGAGCCCTCTCCAGCTCCCTTCCCTTTTTATAAGTCGATTATCTCAGGTTATTTCGTTACAGCAACGGGATGTCGATCAATGTATGCGCGTACCAGGGACAGAACTTTGTGCATCTCACAACCACCATACACATCCTATGAAATCCATGTGTGGAAGGACATATAAATCCAAGTATCAACACAATTCCTTTGTAAATTTCTCAGGGTTTACAGGGTTGCACAGTCAAGGTACATGGCAAATACTCCATGTAAAACGCATTTTTACTTTGATTTGACTCAACTAGAAACCAGCAAGGAAGGAATTCCAATCCAGATACCATTACCACCCGTGCAAAAAGAGACCCAGTTATTAATGCGTGGGACGACAGCACAGCCTAATATCTTTGGATACAAGGACCCAAGGACCGCTCTCAACCCCTGAAATATATGCCCCATAACACCAACGCTCCTTCTCAGTAGGTGTGTGTTTTCTATTATTCTCTCTAAGTTGGTTCCTTGCTTGTCACACATTGGCCCCTTCCCACTTCTGAGGAGGGGTTGGGGGCCACAGGATGGGGTCCAAGAAAATGGGTGAGGCCTCTTTTTTGGATGAGACACACGGGAACACCGACCATCGAAATAAACTTCCACTTTATTTTACCAAATATAATTTATCAGTTAAGTCGACACCTGTCAATTCAGTTATAGCAACTATAAATAATTCTCTGAAGACACAGTTCTGTAACTTTTGAAGGGTATGAAAGTAAACCAATTTTGTTTCAGGCCAAAAGTGCATGCAATAGGTGTAACCCAGCAGGAAGAGAGAACTGATCTACTGACATCAACTTCCCCGTCACTCCAGCCCTCCTCTGCTAGCCTGCTGAGCCTGGGGGGTGCCTACCTTTCTGTTTACTGGGCAAAGGAAGAGGGATGCTTCAGTCTCTAGACAACCTGATCCAACACCAGAAATCAGGATATGGTAAGTGGCTGGGGCATTCTGGGGTCACAGTCTTGGGGTGTGGTGCCTGCATAAGTTCGTGCTTTGAGGTGGCGTTAGGCCAGAGGGAAGAGCAGAAACAAGCCCAGATTGGTATTAATCTACTTGACACAACTCCAACTAGATAACCTTTGACTCCTTCCAATTCTAAGGTTCTATGATTTCAGGTGATGAGGGGGGAGGGGGGAATGAAGGTCCAGGCACAGCTTAGTCCTTTCCTTGGAGGCCGATCCTTTAGGTTCTATAGGGGAAGAGTCTATGGGCTCATGACAAACAGGATCGAAGGGAGCCTGCAGCCCAGTCGTTGAGTCGTTTGGAGCAATGTGTGGAGATGGTATCCCAGCTTCTGTACCCCAGCTTCTAATCAGTCACAGGCAGGTGCCAAAGAGTTGCCTGACACCCAGCTTGCTCGTTCCAAACTCTCTTCTGAGTGTGTAGTGAGACACATAGAGACGGGAAGGAGGGGATTTTAGGGCATGAAACTGCCAGAGTAACGGGGCTGGCAATCACTGCAGAGTTCCGCTCTAAACAGGGAACGAGGCAAGAACCTGCCTTGAAGTAGGCACAGATACCTACATCGAGGGAACTTTTACTGCCAGATTGAAAGGGGCACATGGCCTCTGTAACCTAGGGAATGAGATGAGGTTAGCACTGGCTAGTCAATGCCTGGCACTGTACCTAACACAGTGGCCACCCCATAACTATTGCTCGATGGAGAATTACCATAGGCCACACCATGGAAAGGCTCATGGGAGGGGGGAGGCTGAGATTTGCTGAATGAGTGAATGGATGACAAATGTCAGTAGGCAGGAGCAAAGAGAAAGGCCAACTGACCTCAGTATGATAAAATGGGTGCTTTTAGGAAGTAGCAGAGGCCATGACAGACCATGCGGTTATGTCCTCATGAGAAACAGCAGTGAAACACCCCCAGGTTGCATCAACCTCATTTGCCACATTTCCTTGTCCTGTCTCCAGTTTTAGAAGCCCATCTGGCAAGCTGTGGGGAATGGGAGTGCTTGGAGACAATTAGAGAGGAAGCTTGAACAGGCACTAGGGTCTCTAGACGCAGGGGGAGTGTGGACCATTCGAAACCTATGGCTGACACTGATCCATGAAAGCCCAGGCAGCTGGGCGGCAATCAGGCCCATGTGCGCAGACAGAACAGTCAGTTCACCTGACTCTGCGTGCAGGTTGGCCTGGAACAGCAGGGCTGTGATTGTTAGGACCTAAAGCAACTTTCTCCTGCCCAGTGCTGTGCAGTTGGTCCACTTCTGTAAAAGTATGTGTGGAGTGTTAATTATCCCTCATCTCTCGGTTCAACCAAACTGAAAACAACCCAGAGCCCAGAGTTTCTTGTTAAGGGCCAAGGCCAAGGTTGCTAAAGCTAATCCAAAGGTCCCCAGATGTCAGACAGAACGCCAAGGTCCCCATCTACCTCACCTGGAGGTACCCACCATGGAATTGCACTTGGTGATTATCTCAAAAGTCTACTTTAACTACTTGTTTCTGTCCATCTGTCCTTCCTGAATTCTTGCTATCCAAGCTTGGCTTGATGTATAAAAAAATTCCCATTGAAAATAATGAGAATTTGGTAGCAAAGTGATATCCCAGAAAGATGTGGGAGTGTAGTGTAGGCTGGAGTAGGGAAACAAAAGGAAAAAAAAAAACAAAAACAAAAACAAAAAAACAAATAGAAAGTGCAGAGGGGTGAGGGGAAGGGCTGAGTGGCTAAGCTAGTCCCCAACATCTGTGTCCCTGTCCCCAATGAGCCAGAGAACATGGAAGCTGAGTGCTAGGAGCCCAGTGCCAAGCAGGTCCCCCAAAGCAGTCAAGTATGGGATGGAGAAGTTGTCCGGGTCCAGACCCCGCCCCCACATCCAGTTCACCATCCAATCTGCGATGTACAGGAGAATCAGCACCTGCGGGGAGAAGGGTGCTGCTGTAGCCATCATCTTTCTGCAGGGGGCGCCAGAGGCCACATGACTGGCCTGCAGAGTGCGTCCCAAGGCCGGGCCAGTCACAGCTGGCACCGAGCTTTCTAAACTAAATCCTACCCTAACAGGAACTCTGTCCCTGCTTCTAATTCTGGGTCAGACCATCCTGGAGTTACTACAATTCCAGCCATGCTGGCCTCTCCAGGAGCCTCGTAGGGGCTGGCAGCTACTGGAGCCAGTTGCCCTTACAAGGAAGGATCTTCCTCCTGCCATTTGGGTTAACAGCTGACTACCCAAGCGGCTTTCTCTTCGCCCTTTCCGTCCTGCTGTTGTGAGCTCAAAGACTCTAAGTTTATCCTAATCTTCATCTGTAAAAAAAAGGGTTTAGTCAGCTAGACATAAGGTCAGTTATAATGGGTAGCAATTCAAAATGCACTTTGGATTATCTACCACTTTGATTTGTTTGTACCTAGCTTACCTTCTGTAATTACAGATGAGAATGAATAGCCAAGATCAGAATCTAGTTACTGGGTGCAGGACCAGTAGTATTGGCTACAGTGGGGAGTGTGTCACAAGTCACAATCTCAGGCCTAACACTGGGCTGTCTGAATAGGAATTTGCATTTCAGTGAGATTTACATGCACTGTAATTGGAACGCCATTTAATCTGGAGCACTAGTGTCGGGTTGATAATGTCTATGAGAATGAGACACGTTCTAATGGTTAAGCTCTGGCATGGTCATGGGGGGGGGGAGCGGTTATTCTTGAGATTACTATTCCAGAACCTCTCACAAGCCCCCTGCCCTGCACACAGCTACCCTGTGGCGTGGCCTTGGCTTTGCAGCCCAGCCTCCCTGTAACCTCACAGCCTTTTGACAGCTGCAGCAGAGTCCCAAATTAAGAGTGGGACTAGATGTTCACTGGGATGGAAACGGCAGCAGCTGTCCTCACATCTAGCCTCCTGAGTAGCTCAAGGACACGTGTTGGGACAGGTGCAAAGGGACCTGGCAGAACTTTACAAGGAGCAACTGTCAACACTTCTCCACAGATTTAGAGAAGGAAACACAGCTAAAATGGACCACAGGGTGTTCATACATAGGAGACAGCATGAAGGTTTGGCCTTCCAACCTAGGCAAAAGGGTGAACTGGAGCAGTCACAACAGACCCTTGGCATACCTATGCTCCTTTCCCGTGTGTGTGTGTGTGTGTGTGTGTGTGTGTGTGTGTGTGTGTGTGTGCACGCGCACGCGTGCACCTGACTAAATTTGCAAGGGAGCGTGGTGATTTGGGTAACTACTGCTGGAAAACAGCATATGGTTGATTGTTAGCCCAGCTCTTGCCAAGGTTCCTAACACACAGCTTTCCCAAGAAACCCCTCAGTTGGGGGTTTGGAGGGATAACTGTTTATCGACAGGAGAATGGTTAAGTCACATCTAGTAATACCATAGGGAGACGGTACCGTGGCTGTACAACAGGGCAAGGCTGGGTGAGTCTTGAAGCTGGATTTGTCTTATAAAATGTTTTTGATGCTTGTTCTAGCTGTGGAACCCTTTGTCTAAATGCAGCCCAGAATGCAAAGATGGCCAAGTAGAACTTTGTGGCAAGGCCAGCAGGGCACAGGTGGTTCTGAGTTTCCCTATTAGGCACCCTGTAACCGCCTGCCTGAAAACCCCGCCGCTGGGCTAGTCTCGCTGCGAGAATGTAGCACTGAGGCTGACTAGGCTAACGTCACACAGCGTGGTGGTAACTCTTCCAGAGCCACAGCCTACCTATCCTCCTGAGTCCTGACCAGTGGCTATCCAGACTCGGAGACAGACGTGGCAAGAGGCCGGGTCCACGGGGGGGGGGGGGTGGGGGGGTGGGGGGTGGGGTGGGGGGGGCCGGGCTCCCCCGCGCCCGCTGGGCCATACCTGAAGCAGTGCAGCTGTCATGTAGAAGGTGATGAAGATGAGAGTGAGGGTGGTATGGCCACCCTGCATACAGCTGATGGTGTAGAGGAACACCAGGTGTCCGGGGACCACAAGGAGGAAGAGGACCCGGGCCGAGCGTGAATTCACGTCTGGAAGAGGGAAGAGGAAGACCAGAAGGTCGCAGGATGGTCAGTGCCACATTCTAGGCCAGCACACAGCTGTATGTCCAGGGCGTTTCAGGAGAAGACAGCTCTGACTGACTCTTCAAAATAGCAGGATCAGCCCAACAACAGGAGAACCTTGAACCCAGGCCCCAGATGCCTCTAATGAAGTTCCGGTCTGCAGACCCCCTCCCTCTAAGGCGGGAATGGACCCGGGAGGTTGAAATGCCGTGGTTACCAGGGCTGAAGAAGGTGGTGCACGGACTAGGGCAGCGGCGAGGAGTTGGCTCGGAATTCTCCCCTGGCATGCCATTCATGTGGAGAAAGGTGGAGATGCGGCTGGCCTGCACAGCCACCAGATTGCCCCCAACACCTGCAGGGAGACACACAGGACGCAGACTTGGAGCAGGACTGGGAGGGAACCACCTTGTTCTTTGCCTTTTATCTGTGGGGGCCCTGTTTTCCACCTTCACTAGAGTCTAGGCAAGTGTCGCCCTTCCCTCACGTGCCAAGAGAACAAGACAGGACAAATACGTCACGTCGCTGCTTCTGAGGGCTCTTCTAGGATTTCAACATCCCTTACACGCATGTGTGACAGCTCCACGCCCCCTGAAGCGTCTGAGGGTGTTACAGACTGAGTGTGCCGCACAGACATCTGCCAGCTACACAGCAGGGTCCAAGGCCTTCCCCAGCGCTGACCCAGGCACCCAGTGCTCACGTACTCAGTAGCCAGTTTCCAGTGAGAAGTGTGAGCTCTTATCTGCTACTGCCCCAGTAAACTGCCTTGCCTTTAACATCACACCCCAACCTAGACCCTGAACTTCTTTCTCAGCTTTGCCCGGGCCCTGAGAGGTGGCGGCTGAAGGCCTCACACCAGTCTCTTATGCTGGATGCTTTTACTTGGCTTGCACAATGGGAGGCGCCGGCAGGTGAGCAGGGGGAGAGGCCTAGTGGGTTTCCTGATTGCTTTTTTTTCTAGATCCTTTTCTGCTTTTTGGTAAGAGCTTACTCTTGCAGGGGGCAGACTGGAATTCTAACTGGACTCCTGCAAGATAATTTCTGGGTCCCGTTGGCCCTTCAGCGTTGGAGACTTCCATGTTGCTAATCTCTAGGTGCCTTCACGACCCCGCTGGTTACTTTACCCCACCTCTGTCTTTAAGTCTTGTCCTCTCTGAGTTAGCTTCTTTTGCCTTCTGGGACCCTGAGCGACACAGAAGCCATGTCTAGCTGTTCCTCCAGCAGCTAAGGCCTCACCATTAATCACAGGTGTGAAGACAGCCATTCCTGCAAAGTTGGGGTCCGATACAGTCTTGTCCAAGATGAGGCCGCCCACACTACAGAGATACAAAGACAAATGACACAGAGATCACCGACAGGTTCTGCTCTAGTCTCTGGGCTGGGAGGCACGGGCCATTCTAACCTTGGGGAGGACAAGTGGCTTCCTGGAGTCTCTCCTTTCAGTTTTTGGTTCTCTTGAGTGGCAGAGGGACTCTGGTACAAGAAGTGTGTGCAGAGCCACCTTCCCGTGAGGACCCTGGTCAACTGCCTGCTCAGCACTGATGTTCTCTATGCTAACAGCACTGGCTCCTCCCTGAGGGAACCAGAGCTCTCAAACTTAGTCACCGTGGTCCAGGTAACACGGTTTCAACTGTGGCTAACCTCCCCATCCAACCGGACAGCTGCGTTCCCAAGCCCGAATGACTGATTCAAGGACAGAACTGTGGCCAACTCTGAACAAGAAGCAATGACATTCTATACTGGGTCTCTGTGCAACTGCTGGGGGAAAGTCTCTCTCCTCTTGCTGGAATTGGGAGGGGTCAGAAGGCTGAGAACCTGGACTGCTGGTCACTATGGAGAAAGCAGAGCAGTAGAGTCCCAGGGTCTCAACGGCACTGCATTCATCCCGGGACACAGCTGCTTTCTTAGTTCCCAAGGTCAGTATGTTCTGCTTTGGAGTGAAACCTAATACACACAGTTCCTGTCACTTGCAATAGAGGGACACCTGAATGACATTTTCAGGACGCGCTCCAGTTTTCCTGCTCTGGGGCTTCAGATGGGGGGGGTCTATGGTGACGTGGGAATGACATAGGGGTATATACTCAGGGGCCCAGCCTACCTGCTGATGGCCATGGCTATGATGACAGGTTCCCAGCCTGAGTACAACACCTCCCTTGTGGCTGGGCTCCTTCGGGCCAGCACCACCCAGACAGGCAGCAGGACCACAAAGAAGGCGCACACCAGGGGGTAGATGTATCGCCAGTGCTCTGAGAGGGCAGAGACCAGAGGGGGGTGAGTGTCAGGGTCCAGTACCCAGCTTCCCCAGCTCAGCCTGCAGACGTCCCAAGAGACGAACCCACTGGCAATAATTCTATCCTAAATTCTAACCGACCATCACCGCACACCCAGGAGGTAGCGAGGCCAGCTTTGCCTACTTTGTAGAGGAAGAAATAAAGGCCGAGAGTTACTCAGGTGCCACATTTTTTTGTTTTGAGACAAGGTCTTGCTCAAGTTGGCCTTATTCTCACTCTCTTCCTGCTTTCATCTCCCGAGGGGCTGGGGTCTTCGGTGTGCCCTACCATGCCCAGCTCGGGCAGTAAAGTTAACAGAAACAGACGCCAGACTGTATGCGTCTTGGTCCGATCCCAGAAACCCCTAACTCCCCTCCCCTTCATCAGCTTACAAGAAGATTCTAGTCTTCCATTCTTCCCGTTCCCCTTTCCACATCCCATACCCCCAAGGGAAACAAAACCCTTAGGACAAAGCAGGGATGAGCTCTGAACCTCTCCCTTCCCCTATCTGCCTGCAGGAGCCCAGAGAGTGCCTATCTGGTCTCCCCACGCCTGGGAGGTGTGGCAAACTGTTCACATAGTTAACAATATGGCAAAAAAAAAAAAAAAAATCTTCACACATTTGCAAAATGGTCCCCACCTCCCCCCAAAGCCATTCTCAGTGGCCTTAGCCTTACTCAATTCCAGGTAGAGTCCCCAGCTGATGCCCGATAGGAGTGCCAGGGTGATGAGGTCGCCCAGGCTAGCAGCGATGGGCGTGGCCACGTTGTCTGGGTTGATCCCGATTTTTCGAGACCCAATGATGACTCCAATCATGATCATACCTGGGGAGGAAGGAGAGACGGGCCAGGTAGGGTGAGAAGGAAACAGAGGGGCATCAATAAACAAAAGAGGGTGCGGAGGAGCCGGGTAGAGTTGACCCCTTGGGAGCAGCGCCCTGGCCCCTGTGCCTTCCTCCCGTTCTTACCCAGCACCAAGGAGGCAATGAAGGCTGTGGCCACACTGCTGGCGCACAGCAGGAAGGCGTGCGGGATACTGAAGTGGCCATCAGGAATCCAGCCAAAGACAACGGCTGCGATGGATGCCAGGAAGCCCACCACCGTGGCCTGTACCTGGGGAGAGACATCGTCATGTGGAGAGCAGAGCTCCTTAGTTGAGGGGGTCACCAAGTACCCAGAGGACCCTTCGTAGCCCTTAGCAAGCAGGCAGGACCAGGCTTCACAGCCCTTGCAGGCTAGAAGGATGCCTTTATTTAGTTTTAGCCCCGACTCTAGTACAGGGTGGTTGCGCCCTGCAAATTCCTAGGACACGTCACTGGCTGGTTGTATGTTCCTCTGGAGATAGGATGGGAGTCAGCAGCCCAGAGATCAGGCAGACTCAAGACCTGGACTCATGAGTCTGATTCTACCACAAAGATTGGCGGCTCAAAAGTTCCAGAACTGTCTAGAGCCTGTTGACGTGGACGCTGCTGGGGCTCTCTCTGTCTTGGCCATTTTCCTGAGTAACTAGTCACCTCCTAGCCTACTTTGCAGGATGCTGGACAGTCCCTTGGGAGCCAGCTGGGCTGACCTAAGCCCTTTAGGGATTCCTGACCAAGGAGATGCTTAGCCTACTGTCTCCGGGCCATGTTTTCTTACCTGGATGAGGGCCATATTCCCCGTGATCATCCGCCAGAGCTCCTTAGGTGTATCCATTTGTCCAATGTTGGCCTGGAAGAGGGAGGGTGAGCGGTTGGAGCTTGCTGCACAGGGTCTGGGTTTCCTATCTGTTACACTGGGTCAAAAAGCAAATGTATATATAGCTTAAGACTCTATGGATATGGACTCGAATAGGAAAGCACCCACGGCAGGTACGTTCCAGGATGTGAGGGGAGTTGAGGCAGGCTCCATTCTGTCTTGTTTATCTGGGCAGCACATTCCTGCAAGGATCTGTGTGGTTTGGTGAAGCAGCTTGTTCTCTTAGGGAAGGCAAGGTCAGTTGTTGGCCCAGGACTGAGGCTGCCAGTATTTGGAAGGAAGTGGGTGGCACCAGCCAGGATAAAGAGAGTAAGGGGTGGCTTAGGCTGGCTGCCCTCTACACTATCTGCTCCAGACTTGGCCATAAGGGGACATGCCTGGTCTCCTGAGTTTTAACACCTCTTGCTTCCTAGCCATGGCTTTCTCTATTGGGCTTAGTCCATGAACGGTTGTGGCAGAGGGAAAGGATTGTGGGAGGTGGAAATGCCTCTTCTCTTGAAGAACAAGCTGCGTTGGGGAAAGGGGATGGGTCTCGAAGGGGTGTGGGGAGGGCCTGGCTCTGCTCCTGCCCAGCTGCAGAGTAGGGCTAGAGATCAGAGGAGGCCCCCACCTGCGTGGCTGGAGGGACCAGCATGATGCCTGCCTGTCAAAGCTGCACAAACAGTCACGAGGCAGGTTACAAAGCAGGAGGTGGGGCAGGCATCCAGAGATGGCTGGGACATCCAGAGTCCGAGCTTGGGAACCATTCTGGGCAGGGAGCCCCTGCCTGGGGACAGGACACCCAGTGTGGGATCTCCCTTCACCGGCCCATGCAGTTATGTGGATACCTACTAGTCTCTGTGTTACCCATTCTCTTCTCCCTGTCCCCTCCCCTGCTCCCCACAGCTAGGACACTCACTGCAGTGGACAGCCTCGACGCCAGGGTCATTTCCAAGTTCCCTTTGAGCCCCAGCAGTGCAGGCACCAGGATGAAGACCTCTGTCACCTTCTGGAAGACTTCCCAGTGCTAAAAGATGAACAGAGTCCAAGAATTTCAGTACCTCAGAGTCCTAGCATTGACGCTGAACAGAGTAGGGGACAGGGGACAGAAATCGGATCAGCACGTGTGTAAGCACACCAGGAACCTTCTTCCCCTTCGGAAGCCTGGGAGAAGAATAAGCCCAAGAATTCCAAAGCAACAGCCCAACCCCCACTCCAGAACAGGAGAGACGCATAGCCAGACTGGCCTTTCTATATGCTTTCGTGGGGACCCCACAGTGGAACCACCCCAAGTTGGCTTTTGCCCCAGAACTCCTTGGCAATGTCCTCTCAAACAGCACTCTGCAGCCCCCTTGTCTTCATCTAGTTTCTCTGTGGCCTCTGCCTCGGGAGGTGTTGTCTCAGCTGTGGAGATGGAGGCTCCACAGGGCACGGGCCAGGGTGATTAGAACGTTTGTTTGGTTTCTATTCCCAAGGGCTCTGGGTGTCAGCCACAGTGACTTTCCTGAGCAGGCTCTTAATTTAGATGGTGCTTCTCCTATGCTGGCCTGCAAGAGATTTTTTTACTCCTGTCTTATTCTCTTAGCTGACAGAAGCAAATATACCCCTGTTAGGAGAGCCTGGAGCCAGGGGACAAGGGTCCTAGTCCTGGGGTAATACGTGTTTTCTCACCTGGGCACTTCAACAAGCCAATGAAGAGCTAGTTTTTGTTCCCATCTTGCACATGAGAAAACTGGAGGTTCAGGAAAGTACTACCAACCGGGAAGCAGAGGCAGATGGATCTCGGAGTTCAAGGCCAGCCTGGTCTACAGAGCAAGTTCCAGGACAGCCAGAGATACACAGAGAAAAACCTTTCTCAAACAATGCAAAACAAAAACCCCAACCAAACCAAAACCAACCAAACAAAAAACTAAAAAGAAAAAGAAAAAAAAAAAAAAAGAAAAAAAGAAAAAGAAAAAAAAAGAAAGTACTATCCCAGTTATTGTAGGAACTCAGGCTGGCGACTGGAAGCCCTCTTAGTTGTAACCAAAACTGAGGCTTCCTGGCCCCAAAGGGCCATGGGGTTTTAAGAATGGAAAGCCTGCAGGTTTGTAAAGGGAGGAGGCGCGAACAGTAGGCGTTTGTAGGCAGGTTTGGGTATCTGGAGATAAAGAGCGGGCACACTGGGCAGAGAACTGAGTCTCTTCGGAGGAATACAGAGAGGGGTCTCTTGTTCACAACGGCCAGGTTACAGAGCATCAAGCCCCTTCCTTAGCTTGTTCACAAGGCCAGGTTACAGAGCATCAAGCTCTTGCTCAAGGTTCAGATCCCAGTGCCAGACTAGAGAGCTAGACCAGCAGGCAATTCCAGTCCCTCTATTCTACGGCTAAAGAGCAAAGTATGGCAGTTCCTCACACTGAAAATAAACTGTATATGGTGGCTTTGCCACAAGCTCAAGGCCAGCTATCTACATAGAAAGACTCTGTCTTAAAAATAAACAAGTCAGGTGGCGGTGGTGGCCCACGCCTTTAACCCCAGCATTCGGGAGGCAGAGGCAGGCGGATCTCTGTGAGTTCGAGGCCACCCTGGTCTACAGAGCGAGTTCCAGGATGGCTGGGGCTACACAAAGAAACCCTGTCTCTAATCTACAAACAGACAAATAAACAAACCAGCTGGGGACGCAGCTTGGTCAGTCAAGGGTGTCTGAGTTTGGATCCCTAGCGCTCACATAAAAAGCCAAGCACAACAGTGCATATCTGTAACCACAACACTAACCCTTGCTGGGCCTTGAGGGGCACTGAGCCACCAGCTTAGACAATTAGTGAGCTCCAGGGTCAGTGAGAGACTCTTAAAAAAAAAAGTGAAGTGGACAGGGGGCTGGAGCGATGGCACAGTGGTTAAGAGCACTGACTGCTCTTGCAGAGGACCCAGGTTCTATTCCCAAGATCCACATGGTGGCTCACAACTGTCTGTAACCCCAAGAGACTTGACACCCTTTTCTGGCCTTTCGAGGCGCCAGCATGCTTGCGATGCACAGACATGACACAGGTAAAACATCCATACAAAATACAAAAAATAAAACAAAATAAAAAGTACCAAAACTAAACCCTGTCTCAAAACACACACACACACACACACACACACACACACACACACACTACCACCACCACCAACAACAACAAAACAAGCCAGGCAATGGTGGCCCACACCCTTAACCGAAGCACTTAGGAGGCAGAGACAGGAGTTCGAGGCCAGCCTGGTCTACAGAGGTAGTTCCAAGACAGCTAGGACTATTATACCCAGAAACCCATCTCAAAACAAAACAAAAAAACTCCAAAATAACAAACAAAACCAACCAACCAACCAAACACCCACCCCACACACACACACACACAAAAGCCAGTGTTGAGCAGCAGAGAAAATGTCCCACGTCGACCACTGGCACATGTATGTGCATATGTGCATACACCCATACAACATGTACACAGTTCACATAACACAGACACGCACACACAGTAAATGAATGGGCATTTAAACAAGAATAGCCATATAATTAGCAACCCTAGTACTTCTCCTGACTACTTACTCCCAAGTCCTAAGTATTTAATATCCCAAATAATTGAAAGCAGGATCTTCCTGTTCATAGCTTCACTTAGGCATGGCAGCCAAGAGGTGGGAGCAACCCAACTGTCCGTCAGCAGCTGAGTGGACCAGTAAAATGTGGCAGAACAATACTGAAGTATGACTCAGCCTTGAGAAGGAAATTCTGTCCCATGCTACAACATGAGAGACTCTTGAGGACATCAAACCAGCCACAAGACAAATGTTGCATGATTCCACTTACTTTACTTTGGAGTAGTCATCACATTCATAGAAATTAGAGAGAGAGGGGGAGAGAGAGAGAGAGAGAGAGAATTGTGGTTACTAAGGGCTGAGGGCCTGGAGAAGGGAGTTACATTATATGGATGCAGAGGGTAAGTTAGAGAAAATGGAACTCGGAGAGCACACTTTACACACTTCAAGATGGCCACAGTGTAGTTTCATGTTATGTGACTTCCTGCAACATTAAAAACAAACAACCCTGATCGTATGTCTGTAATCCTAGCATTCGGAGGCTGAGGCAGGAGGATAGCTGGAGGTACAAAGATTCTATCTCTAAAAACAAAACAGAACCTGGAGATCCCAGCACTCGGGAGGCAGAGGCAGGATGATCTCTTCAAGGCTTGCCTGGTCTACAGAGTGAGTTCCAGGGCAGCCAGCGCTGTTACACAAAGAAACCCTGTCTCGAAAAACCAAACCAATTCACAACCCAAGATGCTTGAAGCCATCAGAGGGGGCTGGGGCCAGGGAGCAGAGAGAGGCTAAAGCACTGGGGGTCCTATAAGGCAAAAACCTTAACTTTTTGTTATTGTTCTTGGGGAGTATGTGCAGGGAGTAGGACCCTGAGGACAGTTCATTTCTTCAGGGCTAGAGCATACCCTTGCCTGAGCTCCTAGGCCTAGGATTCGTTTTAGCATCTCCTAAAGGATCTAGACTCTCTGAAGATTCCTCAGGGGTGGGGAAGAGGCACTCCCCCCACACACAGCAGTTCTGACCTTTCCACTGTTGCCTTTCAAATACTGGGGGAAGGTGAGAATCTTCTCCCCTCCCAGGCAGCCCCTGTGAGGCGCCTCATGAGCCCCGGGAGTGTTACTCTTGGACAAGGCTGGGACATCCACCCCTGTGGATCCAGCTCCCTCAGCTGAGGCCCAAACAGCCTTGCCTTTTGTGGACTGGATAAGCAGCTTCAGAGAAGGAAGAATAGGCTTTTGGGGAGCTCTCAGAACACAGCTCCACATGCTTGCCTACCTGCGCCCAAGCAGCTAGCTCTCTCTCTCTGTCCAGAGAATGAAGGTGATGGGCATCGTCCCAGAAGGGAACTTGCACAGTATATGCAAGGAACAATTTCTGAGCTGTTGGTAAGGAGTATAGCATGTCTTTATTAACACACACACACACACACACACACACACACACACACACACACACACAGATGTAGCTGTCCATTGTGGTATGCCTATAAGTCTACCATTCAGGATGATGAGGCAACTTGTGAGTTTGAGTCTAGTCTGAACTACACAGCAACAAGATCCTGGAGAAAAGAATGTATGAAGTTCAGTTAACCTCCTCCCCCAGGTGCTACCATAAACATCTCTAATTTTCTCCTTCCAAATATATATATGCCCTCTGCTTTTAACTACATGGGGATCTGGAAGTTGTGAGGTTTTGGAAGGGATGACATGGGACACATAGATGGGCAAGGAAAAGGACCAGGGCCAGTAGCAGTCCCATGCATAAGTCTTCCCACCCCTCAGAATACAGCCTGGAACTCACAATACCTGATCTTTTGGTCCACCAAAGTCCTAAGCTGGGACTTGAGACAGAAGAGCCAATCCCTACATCTGTTTTTCCAACCCATAAACCCTCTCAAAAATGTAGTTCAGGCCAGGAGTCTATGACCTGTGCCCATGCACAGGACTCTGGGAGGCAGAACCAGCCAGAGAGCAGGGGGTCCTGAGGTTAGAGGTTGAGGATGGAGAGGTGTAGATGGAGGTGGGTTTTCTTACTCCTTTGGCCTAATCCAGGCCCACCTGCTCACCCTGGCTCTGCCCCTGAAGTCAAACCAGCCAGCTACCACCTACAGGGGCCAGGAAGCTGCTTGTCTTGGAGGTCAGAGGGGAACACCTAGGGATTTTTATTCTTTTTTTAATTGCTTCCCGGAACCTGGGCCCCTCTCTTTGTCCTCTCACCTGGAATGCGATGAGACAGCGGCCTCCACACTAAAACCAACCCTGGCCCAGAGCCGTCAGTCACCCAAGCCTCACAGCACAGGGTTCTTGCTGTAACTCCTTCCTTGGCCATCTAACCTGCTCTTCCGCCTGCCACCTCACCTGGCAGAGCCTCCTGCTCCGCAAACACATCAGCAAAAAGCCAAGTCAGCGAGAGACGGAATCAAGATGTTAAAAGGACCCAGACTCCCAGATTCCAGCACCAGGTACCAAGCTGCCCAAGGACTTTTCCGGCAATCCTGGGTCAGGCTGGGCCATAGTTTCCATCTGCTGGAGGCTTGTCCCGGGCATTCTGCAGGTATCCGAGCAGAGGGCCCTCAGGGCAATACCTGCAGGTTCAGAGCTGTGCACTGCGTGAGAAAAGGAAATGACTGGCCCCGAGAGCACGCAGCAGGCAGAGATGGGCAGGGCACAGGTGGTCAAGGGAACAGGATCTGAGTGTCCTGCCCAGGGGCTCCAGAACCCTCCAGAAAAAGAGGTCCGTTTCCCTCCCACACCCTTCCCCAAGGCCATTCGGCCATCCCCTTCCATCTTTGAAGGTACTGGGGAGGGGCAAGTAAGGAGTGCATTAAAGCAAGGACTGGAGAGCCCCCCTGTTCTAATCAAGTAGAGAAGTCCCATGGAGATCACACACCGCCTCCTGCCACCCATTCCTCACAAAGTCTGACAGGGTGACAGGAAATGGACGCGAAGCCATGCGGGTGCCCAGGACAGACTGGGGGAGGGCTCGGGCAGCTTGAGGCTCTTTCTGAAGCCAACACTGGGCACGCTCCTCTCCCCTTGCAACTACTGGCGGCAATGGGCAGGTCAGAACAGACTATAGTCTGCTTCTCCTAAATACTCTGGAAAAGCCCTAGGCTCCTTATCTCACGGTGGAGGCCACTCGGCACGAGGCAAGAGAGCTCACACGAGACAGAAGTGGGTCTTTTAGGAAAAGCCCGGTCTTTGCTGCAGTGGGAACCTTGGGCCAAGGATGTGTCCCTGCTGAGGTTCACATAGGGACCTTGAACGACCACCAGATGGCCCCAGCTTAGGCGCTTCTAGACTGTCTCACCGCAGGTTATTTTATCCTGTATCCAAGAGCATCCCCCATCACTCCCCTGGATGTAGAGTGAAAAATCTTCCTGTGGTCCCCGCCCCTGTCCTCCCGTACTCACCCACCCCAGATAACTTGCTGTAGCCATCTGTGGGCCCTGCTTTAGCCCAGCTGTGGTGGGAACATGGGGGGCGGGGAGGAGCACACGGACAAGCCAGGCATTGTCATCCGCACTAACTGAACCCTAGCTCTGGAATGAGCCAAGATGCCACACGGAGGGAGATGCCAGCCTTCTGTGAGCATGCTGGGCAGTTCCAGGTCCCTACTCCCTAAATCCCTTAATGCCTCAGGTCCATGGGCATAAGACAAGACATCAGAGGACTGTCCCTACTCTGGAACCCTGACATGTGGGAGGGTTGGGGCTGATCCTCCCCTCCCTTTGGCTCTGGTTCACTTTAAAAAGCCAAAGCCAGCTGTTCTGCTTCCCAGTCTGCCCTGTTCTCCGAGACCGAAACAGCAGGCTCCTCACAGTCTTAAACCAGGTTGCAAATCCCAGCCATAGCAAAGGTTACTGACACGGGCTCTGGGAAAGATGGCCAGTGGCTTATCTACAGTGTAGTTGCCTGTCTACAAAATGGAGAGCAATGCCCTTTCCCTACTCTTTAGGCTTACAGGATGCCCTTTGAGCCCCCCACCCCATCACCATCATTATCTAGTAACTAAGCAAAGTGTCTCCTAGCTCCACCCCAGGATGCTGGTTCTGAAGCCCCTTGTCTACGAGTCTTGTGGTGCTGGGGATGAAACCTGGGGCTCTGTGCGTGCTAGGCAGGCTCTGTACACTGCACTATGGCCCTGCAGCTCTTTACAGGCCCTGAACTAGAACTAAAAATGTGTTAGGATGAGGTGGGGGGGGGGCTTCAGGAAGGAGAGGAGAGGCGAGGCAGACTAAAAAACCAGGCTCACATCTTCCCCCATCCTCCTCCCCCCTGCTCTCAGCCCCAGGAGGAAAGGCGACCAGCAGGGGAGGAGTCCCAAGCTTTGGACTGGCTTCCTACCCTCCATGTAGGAATACTCCTCACAATAACAGGTTTGAGAAGAGGGCAGGCAGCACCAGGCACTTTTGCAAGCTATAAATAGCATTCTCATTGTTTCCAAAGTCGGAAGGTTCTCCTGTACGACTCAGGGTCTACATGGACATTTTAGACAGTACCAACCACCCTCAGCCTTTGAGACGGGCCCCGGGGACCCCTACGGCAGTCTCTGTGTGCATGGCTTGCAGCATTAGCAGAGCGCAAGTGAAGATGATACCGAGTTTCAGACTCTTTTGGGAAATGTCAAAGTGAGGGAAGCCTGGGTCAGGGGAGGAGTGGTCCCCAAGCACCTGGCAAAGCACCTCACTTTGGAGTTCCTAGGACAGAGCCAGCGTTGAGCAGGCACTAGATATATGGTGGTTAATTCAGACGAACCTAGCGCTTGTAGAAAGCGCTATGAACCTCACTGAGCTTCAAGAACCTTTACTTAGAAACAAGACTTCCTCTCTCCAACCTGGAGGCCCTTGCTAAGCCCCGACTCACAATGCTCTTAATACAGCAGCCCCTGCCCTGGCTCTTAGCAAACAGGTCCTACCAGCTCTTACTGTTCTTTCTACTCAGCATCCCCATGAATTGTCCCGTTGGCCCAGGGCAGCTTCATGACAGACAAGGAGCAAAGAGAGATGGTCCTGCCAAGGTCTGGTTGCATTTTGTTCTCATCCCCAGCACTTGCAGAGTTTACACCTTTCCAGAGCTTAAACCACCTTCCCAAACCATCCTCACTCACCCAGGAGGCTGTGCCAAGGATGCATGAAGATAAGCAACACAAAATGCCTTAACAGCTTTCTCACTGGATCTGAGACCATCCCGACAGCTGAGTAAATTCCTGCCCAGCAGGGGAATGGAAGAGGAGGCTTGAAAAGGCGCTTTCTATCTTGGGTATCCTTGAAACCTCCAGTAAAGGGAAAGCAGGCGGAAGGAGGAGACCCATCTAGATGCCCCCTACTGAGCCGGACTCAACAGCACCCAGGCATCCTGGTAAGCAACAGCCCTGCCCCTCTCTCCACCTTTCTGCCTGAGTCCTGGAGTTGCGCATCTGGCGCTGTTAGACAATACTGCTCTGACCACCTTCCTGGGGCTACCTGACTTCTCAGAGCCTTCTGTAGAAAGTAACAGAGGCAAAGATGAAACCAAGGACCCAAGGACGTGATCCAAAGGGAAACAGTACTCTAGGAAGCAGCAGCTGCTTCTGCCGCACAGAGATGAAGGGGAAGTTCCAGCAGCCACTGTCCCAGAAGGCCGAGGTATCGAGGGCCTGCGGGTAGGAGCTGCCCCACTCAGGTCTTACCTGCACAATGTCCAGCACCATGCCAGCTGCCACGGTCCCAAAGCCTGCCAGGAGGAAGGGGAACAGCACTTGCAGTCCAATGGAGAAGGAGGTCTCCTTGAGCGGGGAGGGTGGCGCAGGGCCGCGGTCTGTGCTGATGTCGTCACTCTCATTACTCTGGCTCCCGTTCTCAAGCAGTGCGTCCTCCTCCCGAACTCCCTTGGCATTAGCTCGAGACTCAATCACCACCACCTCCACCCCGGCCCCATCGGGCCCCAGGAACTCTGAGGTCCCAGCCAAGGGCTCTCGCCCAGGGCCATCCGAAGAGCAGGGAGAGGGAATAGGGCCAGTACCGTTCGGCTGGTGGATGTCCTTTGGCTCTGGCTTAGAGGACATGACAGGCAGGGAGGAGAGGAGGGGAGAATTTATTTCTTTTTCTTTCTTTCTTTCTCTGACTCTAACTCGGGAAAGAACTTAGTCTTGGGTTGAACCCAAGCGTGAGTGCCGCGGGACCTCTTCCCACGGCAGTCCACTCCTACCTGGCACTATAAGAACTGATCTACCAAAAGGCAGCCCCATCAAGCAATGCGGCCCCGGAGCTGGAAGGAAACTCCTCACACCAGATGCAGCAGCTTAGCTGCCTCTAGGGGTGAGTGTGGGTGCCTGCCCCCAGCTCTGTATTATGCTGTGTGTGGCGGGGATATCTTTGGTTCTCAGTGGCCAGCTCTTCAGAGCGGGGGCATGCAGAAGAGACAGGCTCAACCTGAGTCTGGAGTGCCTGATGCTGCAGCCCTCCCTTGTGAAAAGCTGAATGAGTTCGGATTGTTCAGAACACAGCCTCAGCCTGAGGCTGGGGCTTCTTCCCACTCCTGCTGGATGCTCTCCGCTTCCCGCAGCACCTCGGGCTCAGCTGGTCCCAGGACAGTGTCTGCTGTCTTTTGCCTCTCTCCCAGAGGTCTCCTCCCTTCTTGAAAAGATCTTGTACTTTCCCAGTTGCCTGGTCCTTAAAGTCAGAAGAATCTGTGCGGAACACCTTATGTGGGAAGAAGGGAAAAAGAGACAGCGTACAGAGAATGTTAGGACATGGCAAAAAACTGTTCCTACCCAGACGATCTCCAGAGCACGCAGTAGTCTGTTACAGAGGTAGCTATTTGCTCTCTTTTCCCACTAAACTTATACTGTCCTGCCCCACTTCGTGTGGAGGCCCAGAAGGTTCTCATCCCAGCATCCTCCCCGACAGCAAACCATAACCCCATTGGAGGATGCTGCGTAGACCTTGGCAATGCCTTCTGAGCAGCCTGGGGTGCGGAGGGGTCCTCTCAGTAATAAGTGTAGTTCCTTAGCGGTAAGTCACAAATTTGGACACAAATTCCCTACACAGTCACTCTTCTGTGGGTGACTGATCACAAGACAGCAACGGCAAGACAGGGCAAGCCAACAGGGAGATTGATTACTCAGAGAAGCATCCCCAGACCTCTAACTGCTCTAGCCCCCCAAAGAGGGAAAATACCAGGGCTCAGTAGGTAGTGGGGCTGGAAAAGCCAACCAACGCAAGACCAAGAGCCAGAGGCTCACTACCTACTCCTGCCCTTGCTTAAGAGTCAACAGCGTTACAGAAACCTCAGAGGGGACCCTGGTCCAGGCCCTGTCTACATTTCTCTCTCTCCCTCTACGCTTGGCTGAGACAGAACTAGGTTGAAGAGACAGAGGGTAAAACTACCGGTTATGACTGACATAGTTTGATTACATAGGCTCCCTCTATTCCCCCAGCTGGGCATAGTGCTGTCCTTAAAACCAAACCAAAGTATCAGCAAAAGGTGGAGAAGGAGGAAAGAAAAAACCAAGGCAAATACAAGTGTCACAAGCTAATGTGCATTCACTCCCAAATCAGGTCTCTGCCTTTCCTCCACTCTTCTTGTTTTTTCAAGAGGAATTCCCTGGCCTTGATTCCGACTTGTTGCCTTTCACCAGTATGGCTCTCAACAGTAAAACATTTCCAGAGGAGTTTTGCAGGTACGACGAACAACAGGCTGTCAGTATTCCAGACACTCACGATTAGTCAACTCCAGTTTGGTCAAGGCTGAATCAAACTCTAGGGCCCAAGTTAGAAGTCCTCCATCTACTCGGTCGCCAGCCAAGCCACCTTAACACAGCACCGTTGTTTTCAAAGAGGAAGCACTGTGAGGCCACCGTGTCCACACCAGAAAAGTTTCTGAGTTCGCTGCTAAAACCTGACACCACCCCCCCCCTCCCGTCTCGCTGGCACGCCACTTTGACCTGGGAGGGGGCTAGCAAGGGGGCAGGATGGCACCTCAACTACATCACCAGAAAGGCCACTACCTAGGGCGTCAGGCCCTAGGACGCCCCATTTCCTTTCCAGGCGGGGGTGGACAAAAAAAAAAGACCTGTTTGGGTATCCCCAACTACGGAGGTGGGGCGGAGGAGTAACCGGATGACTTCCGCCATCTCCCTGCAACTCAGACTCTGCAAAAGCGCTGCGTGCCAGGGTCTCCCCTGCCCCCTCCCCCGCCTCCCCCATCTACCCCCAGACCCAACAACACTGACCTGCGCCTCGCTGGGGATGAAGGGCGCCTGGAGAGTGGCAGCCGGGGCCCGCGGTATCGGGGGATGCAGGGTACCCCCTCTTCTCATCACTCCTCCCCCTCAGCCGTCCTCCTCGAGCCCCAGCTTGTGCCCCGCTACACTCCCAGCCAAGGCGAGCGTCCAACCGCGACACCCGGCTCGCTACATTTCGCTTCTGCCTTCCTGCGAGGCCGCCGCTCCGATTCCACGATGGGGAGGTGGCCTGGAGGGCAGGATATTCCGCCTCGGGCCGGCGGGGGACAGGACGGGGCCTGGGGTGCCGAGCTCGCTCGCCCCCAATCGCCTCTTGCCCGCGGACTTGGACAAGAGTGGTTGGCTGTGGGTGGCAAACGTGATCTGGGGCAGAGCGGGTGGCAACCCCCCCCCTCCATCAAAAAAATAGACTCAGGATAGACAACCGCATCAGCCAATCGGAACAGGAAGAGGGGCGGGCCCCGCCCAGGCCACGCCCATTTCCCGCGCTCCGTGAGCCGGGGGTGGGGGGGGAGGGACGCAGCCGAGTGACGGGAACCCGAGCGCGGGGGCCGGTGGTGCGCGCCTGAGGTCCCGCGGCCTCGCAAGGCGAGCGCGCCTGTACACATGTGTACCCCTGCATCCTGACCATCTCGTGTGAGCCTCTCGCCTTCCGGAAGACCCGAAACCACCCCAGTGGGCCGGCCAGCTGGCGATCGCGAGGCCCCGGCAGTCATCGCGTGTTCTTTCCCCGCGCCCAGTCCCTACCTTCTTGGGCACAGTTCCTCGTCCTCGGACTCGTCATCTCTCCCTCCAAGGTTCCGCGTTCCTCTCTGGGCAACTGGCTGGACCCTAATGAATCTGCTTTAATAAAGTTCCAGCCTTCAAAGGGGGTGGGGATGGGCAGGCTGGAGGGAAGGAGCATTCGTTAAACTAGGGCTGGGGCCCTATAAACCACCTGAGCTAAGGGTGGAGGGGAGCGGGCTTGCTTTGGCCAACTCGTGGCCCCATGGGGAGAGAATTCTCTATCCCGGGCGAAATGAAGTCCAATTTTCCCTGACGCACACCTTGTGGGATCAAAGAGGAGAGTGTTTTCACCCTGCCTTTCTGCCACTTCCTCCCTGGGGTGTCCCCACCCCATCAGCCCGAACTCAGTACCAGTTCTCTTTGGGATGTTTTTGTTCAGGGGATGTGAACTCCCCGTAAAGGAACTCTTTCCCCTCTCATCGGTGGAACATGTGATCGGTGGTTCCTTCCTGCCCCTTTCCTCTCTAGAAAGGCTCTTGGAGGCAATTGAGCATACCTCCAGACCTTTGAATGAGGATCGGAGCAAAGATGTATCTTGCTGGCAACCAAGCTTTTGGCATACATGCTCTACAGCAACCTGAGCGGGCCATTCCATTGGACAGTGACGACAAATGTATCACCAAAAGCCTGTCCCTACCTGCCTATCTAGCATCCCTGGGTTCAGCTCAGCTGCTAGTACATCAAAGGCCTATGGGTTTTTTTTTTTTTTTTTTTTTTTAAGGACCAAGTAAAGCAAATGTCACTATAGTAGACCCCAATTTTGGCTTTAAAGCTGAGTCTGTTTGGATATGGAAGTTATGCCTAAACTGGGCAACACTGGGTGTCTCTCTTCCAGAAGAATCAGCTTTGCGAAGAGTATAGACTAAGAGGGAAATTAAGACTGACTGATGTGCCTGCCCAGGTGGTGAGTGTTGGTAAGTTGGTAATCTTAGCCCTTGGGAGGCAGAGGCAGGAGAATCTCTACAAAAAAAAAAAAAAAAAAAAAAAAAAAGAGTCCATTGTAATAGTCTACGGAGAGAGTGCCAGGAAAGCCAGATGCAGTTGAGACTCTGTATCAAAAAGATCAAACCCTTTCATCCAAAAACAAACTTAAACTTACAAATTTCTGTCTTACTCCCCCGACTTTTTTTTTTAAATCTACTTTTGAACTGAAATAAATCATACGGGAAAACACATAAAAACCTAGAGCATAGACCCACAAGTTATGGCACAGTGAACAGGCCCAAGCAGCCACCACCGAGAGGAAGAATTCAGTCATCACTGCCATGCTAGAAGCCCCCTTGGTCATGACCTCACCTCTGCCCCCTAAGGTAGCCTCTATGTGACTCTGTTAGTCCGACAGCTTTTGTCTTGTGTAACGGAACCACTCAGGAGGCACTAGCGCTTTCTGTACGGAACCACTCAGGAGGCACTAGCGATTTCTGTACCCGGTTTCTCTCACTCCCGCATACACATGAGAGCATTAGTTAATTCACCCTCTAATGTAGTGTAATGTCACTAAGCAAACACACATCATTTGGATCTGCTGATGGGCATTTAAGTTGTTTCCAGGTGTGATTATTATATGAGTCTGCTATGGCATCTTTATGCCATGTGATACACTTACATTCTCTTTTGTTTGTTTTTGAAACAGAGTTTCTTTAGCTGACCTAGAATTCACCCTGTAGGCCAGGTTGCCTCAAACTTCCAGAGATCTGCCTGCCTGCCTCTTACATGTTGGAATTAAAAGTGCATGTGCCACCACGCCCAGCCTGAACTTGTACATTGGAACAGGACAGGGTCATAGAGCAGGCGATTGTTTAGCTTTAGTAAATGCTACTAATAACTTTCTAATGTGCTTTTATTAATTTATACTTTTGTAGCAATGCCATATTGCTTTATAACATTAAATACTGGTACTATCAATCTGAAAAGGTTAAAATTGTAGCCATTCAATCCCAGCACCCAAAAGGCAGAGATAGGCTGATGATCTCTATGGGTTCAAGGCCAGACTCATCTACATATAAGTTCCAGGCCTGCCAAGGCTGTGATGAAACTCTGTCCAAAAACAAA